TTTTTTTTTTTTTGGAGAGGTTTTTGCTATAGGGCACGTGCGCTCTCCAGACAGATACAGAGAGACAGAAAGCGGAAATCACCCCCCAGGGGGGATGGCCACGCTGCAATCCCTTCTCTTCCATTCTCTTCTCAGGGTCTTGGGCACGCATGCACACACGCCTGGCATGAGTTTTAAGCCATCAGGTCTGGGACGCAAACCGCGGTCGACTACATGGGAGTCCAACAACACAGCCATTACGCTAACTGCTGGTCCCAAAACTGTCGATTTTTAATCACAAAGGAATGTTCAATGGATTGACATCATACATACATTTTACTCACACAAATTTAATCATATATCAAGGCAAATAATAAGTATTTTTCACCTGCAAGGGCCTCAAAATAGAAGTAATTTGCTTCAAGTGCTACACAACCAACAGTGATTTGAATCATTGTAGGAAAAAAAGAGGGGGATATATTGTATGTATTGAAAAGCAGCAGAATGGAATAGTCAGGTATGTTACATTTTATGGGCAGTTTAAGTAATTTTCATGGATTATTTTAACTGTTTTATATACTGGCCTTAAAACCAGCAGCCAATATGAAATGTTCTATTGTAAAAGAAACTTGAATCAGGACCAGCAGTTGGCATAATGGCTATGTCGTTTGACTCCCATATAGTCAACTGCAGTTCAAGTCCTGACCCAGTGGCTTAAACTCACACTGGGTGCATGTGCATGTGTGCCCAAGATCCCGAGAGGAGAATGGGGGAGAAGGGATTGCAGTGTGGCCATTTTCCCTGGGGGGTGATTTCTCGCTTTCTGTCTCTCTGAGTCTCTTTCTGGCAAGAGCATGCTCCCTGTAGCAAAAACCTGTCCAAACAAACAAACAAACAAACAAAAAAGAAAGAAACTTGAATCTAATCTAATCTAATCTATTCAATCATTGGTGTAGAACTTTTCTTCTTCCCTGTGCCAGGTGACTTTCTCTTTTTTTTTAGAGAGATTTTTGCTATAGGGTACCTGCCCTCACCAGAGAGACAAGAGAGACAGAAAGTGAAAAATCACTCCCCAGGAGGGTTGGCCACTCCACATTCCCTTCTCCTTCATTCTCCTTTCAGGATTTTGGGCACACACAACACACACACACACATGCGCCTGACATGAGTTTAAAGCCACTGGGTCTGAGACTTGAACTGCAGTTGACTATGTGGGAGTCCAGCAACATAACCATTATGCCATCTGCTGGTCTTGCCAGGTGACTCTTTAAAAATGTGTCACAAGCCAGCCTGTCACCTTGTGGTTAAAGCAGCTGGATCCCATATGACTGACTGCCCTGGTGACTTAAAAAACATCCAACACATGTGTATGCATGCCAAAGTCCTGAAAGGAGGGAAAAATGGAAGTGAAGAGATTGTGGTGTGATCATTCTCCATGAGGGATGCTTCTCTCTCTCTGCACCCTCTGGCAAAAATCGGAGGGGGGAATGTATCTTAGGACTGGCCCCTGGTTGGTATATCTTAAGGTTGGCCTGGTGGTTGAGGCAACCTGACCCACAAGGGCAGCTACATGGCTCAAATCTCAGACTTGGCAGCTTGAGAAACACACACTGGGCATGTGTGTATGCATGCCCAAAATCACCAAAGAAAAGAAAAATGGAAGAGAAGGGATTGTGGTCTTACCATTCCCCATGAGAGTGTTTCTCTTCTCCTTCTTTATCTCTGTCTCTCCTTGGTGAGAACACAGACTCTCTACTCCCCCAAAGAATATATATATCCCGGATTGCTAACTGGGATGTAGGCTTTTTCTCTCAAATAACCCAGAGCTGGAGTCTAGGTAGTAGTTAAAAGGTAATCAGCAGTACCAGCAGTTGGCATAATGGCTATGTCGCTGGACTCTGTTCGAGTCCTGAACCTACTGGCTTAAACTCATGCTGGGCACATATGCGTGCATGCCTAAGATCCCAAGAGGAGAATGGAGGAGAAGGGATTGCGGTGTGGTCATCCCCCCTGGGGAGTGATTTCTTGGTCTCTCTCTCTCTCTCTCTCTCTCTCTCCCCCTCCCCCCCCTTCTCTCTTTCTGGCGAACACAATGTGCCCTATAGCTAAAAACCTCTTTAAACAAAATGGTAATCAGGAATTTTAAAAAGCCTTTGAGTCTGAGATTCAGTGCTCTTTTTAGTACTCACAAAATTACAACTAGTACATCTAAACTCGCAAAGGTAAGTTTGAGAAGTTTCCAGTAGTTTATTTTGCTGATAACAATCTTGATTCATGGGGATGAAAATGGAGGAAGAAGATGTCTTTGGAGGAACAGTTACAATTTGATCTCTTATACATTTACTTGATAGCTAAAGGCAAAAACTAGCAGGAGTCCAGTGGTAACTGATTGGATCTGTGTATATTTTTATTTTTAGAGATTTTTGCTATAGGGTGCATGTGCTCGCCTGATAGAGAGACAGAAAGCGAGAAGTCATTCCCCAGGGAGAATGGCCACATTGGAGTCTCTTCTCCATTCTCCTCTTGGGATCTTGGGCCCACAGACACACACATTCTCCCAGCATGAGTTTTAAGCTACCAGGATGGGTACTCAAACCATGGTCAACTATATGGGAATCCAGCGACGTAACCACTACGCCATCTGCTGGCCCCCTGATTGGATCTATTTTTGTGAATGTATTGTGCTATTTTGTTTTTTGTTTTTTCGCGCGTGCACTCCCCAGACAAAGACAGAAAGCGATAAATCCCCCCCCTTGGGGATGGCCACGCCACAATCCCTTCTCCTCCATTCTCCTCTCAGGCTCCTGGGCACACATACACACGCGCCTGGCTTGAGTTTTAAGCCACCGGGTCCAGGACACAAACCGCGGTCGACTACGTGGGAGTCCAGCTATATAGCCATTATGCTAACTGCTGGTCCCTGTATTGTGCTATTTTGAACACTCTCCTGTTTCCTCCTCTGGGCCTGTCCAGTGGTTCATTAAGCAGGCAAATGCCATGCATAAACACTTAAAATAGTGGTAACTTTCTTCAAGAATACAAAATAGGAATTACCTTTTTGATGAAATTATAATTTTCCTAGTGTATTTCTTTCTATAAATTGTCAAGTGTGTCAATCTTTTAGCAGATTTGAGTTTAAAATATTGGTAATATATTCTCAGTACTAGGCCATAAATGCAATTAACTCCTCCTTACACAGTTTCCTAGTAATTGGACATGTATATTTGTTGAAAATTACATGTTAATTTTTCTCAATTTTTTAGAGTCAACTGAGGAATCATGAGAGAGAGCAACACAGTCTTCCAGACACCTTGTCAATAGCAGCTTCTAATGAGCCAAGAATTTCCAGTGATACAACTGATGGAAAATGTGTTCAGGAAGGTATCTGTGCATTTTTTTTTTTTTTTTATGCAGGCTGCAGTGACTAGCATATGAAGTCAAAATTGCCTTTAGTTGTCATGTGGGCTATTTTTTTTAGGGCTAAAGCATTAGTGTCCTATTTTGTACGGTAGATGCGTGACTCGTACCTCTGTTCCTAAGGAAATTCTGAGTACTGAATGAAGTAAATTGTTACTAGGTAGAAAGTACTTGATTAGTGAAAATTTTGCTTTAACAGTGTAGATAGATATTACAGTTGAAAATATGTCATCCTGTGGGAGCCAAGCTACATGATAGACTCTTTGAGGGTAACATACCAACAAGCCAGAGAAGCTGCAACACAGAAAGAAAGCCTTTTCTCCTTCTCTTGGTACCAGTTGACCTACTAAGAACTTAGCTTTTACAGATGGTAGGCCCCCACCTCAAACTTTTAACTGAGGCTTCCTGCTGTGATCTTATTCTTATCCAAGTATGACTGCCAGATTTCATCTGCATTATTTTAAACACACACACACACACACACACACACACACACACACACAAGATCTTTTTATGTACTAGTTAGGTACCAGTCGGCCGAGTTTCTGGTAATAGGAATATTAGAATCAAAAGATTTAATTAGAGTTCCATGAAAAGGCGGATGCCACATCCGGAGAATTAGGGATAAAGTGTAATAAGCCATGCTTTCTTGCATCAGCTCACTTAAATTGATATACTTTAAACATTTCAACTGTGGTACATAGTGTTTATGGGAAATAAAACATATTGGGGTGACTTTCCTTTTTAGATTTCCTAAGAATTAAAGTTAGAAACGACTGCAGAGTAAAATGTTTTACCATAATGTTTCATTAAATTATACCCCAGAAAGCATAACTGATTCTGGAATGTTTCTGAAAGAACTGATTTTGACACCACTGTAGCACCAAAATTCCCTTGTCAAACAGATGTCATCCCTGTAAAACTATCCAAAACAAAAGGAGTTTATGACATAGCATCTGTTTCTGCGATAGATGACTGAGCTAAAACAGTTTTGTTTCCTTTTCACAAAATAGCCCTAAATGCCTCCTTTTATTTTAATTCATTATGTTTCCATATCCCCTTTAAAGGAGACATTAAAACATTTGATATGATTGGACCATAAATCCCTAATGAAGGAATTAAGTAAGTACTGCTCAGTAGCACCACCTGCAGTTAGTACCAGTCTTTTCTAGCATCTCAGAAAGCAAAAATTTAAAACTCCCAATGAATTAACAGATTAAAACTCACAATTTGTATAAAAAGATTAATATGTCAGCTCATAATTAAAATAACCGTTTCAAACTTTGGGGTTGTTTTTTATAGACTTATTTTATTTATTTATTTATTCATTTTGATTTGACCAGAGAGAGACAAGGGGGTGGGTGGGGAACGAGCCACCAGATCCGGCACTCGAACCATGGTCGGTCATGTGAGAGTCCAGCGCTCTTAACCACCATACCACCTGCCAGCCCTCAAACTTTATGATATTACCATCTCTCTTCCCATGTTCTGTTTTGTAACATCTTTTCTTTGTGGGTCATACTTTTTCTGAGGTTAACTATATATGGATCGTAAGTTGCTTGCCGTGCTTTTATTCCTCACCTTGCTTATCTTGGTCAAAGTATAACAATTCAGATGGCTGGTAGCTTCCTGCAGGTTGTTACCTGGATGGGTACTTTATTAATTCAATATTAGATACTTTGAAATCTAATTTTCAGGCTAAAAAACAAAATTTTAACTTACAAAGAAGGTAAAAATAATTCACATTTTGTTAAAACTTCATTAACCATTTAGTTAACATATTAAACAAAGGGAAAAATGTGTGCATCTGTGGTCCCCAACCTCAGCCCCTCCCAATACCATGGACACCTTTGAGCATGTTTTTACTCAGAGGTCCAGTATAATGGTACTTCAGACATTCCTTCAGCCAGGAGGCATGATGTACCTGTCAAGCTGGATATTAAGCTGATGCTGGGAGTACAGTAGAGGGCATCCTTGACCTTGAGGAACCTGGCCCAGGGAAGAAGACAGAACTGGACTGATCTGCCATCACCAGTGGTGGTACTCTCATAGAGCCGTGGGCAAAGCACTTTCATGTGATGTTTCTTCCTAAAATTTAATTACATTGTTCTTTATTGGAAACCTATAATTTGCCAAGCTCTGGGGATTCAGCATAAACAAAACAGGCAGATTTTGCCCTCAGAGAATCTGTAGCCTAGTGATAGGGCAGGGACTTGCAGATATGCAGGTAAGGTACAGATTTTGGAAAAGGAAAACTACAGGACTTACTAAATCATGCTGTGAGGTCCAGGTATTTCTGTTATATAGATGAGAAAACCAAGACCTCAGGAGGTAAGATAACTTGTGTGTGACCATACTGGTAGTGAATGACAGAGCAAGGACCAAGCCCCAGTTTTTGAACTTTATATCCAATATTTTTTGCATTGGAAACAGTTGCTTGAAGTAGCACAGGCTCTCATTCTGTGCTATATTAAGTTTTTCCATCTGTCAGTTTTATTAGTTGTCATTGATCTGTAATATTTCTCACACAAAACCATTATCCAATATTTCACACTTCACTTTTTCAGGGTTTTTTTTTAAACTGTATTTGGAACAGTGCCATTTATAATCGAGTCCAAGTTTTTAACCTACCAATTAAGAACAGTACTTAGATTATAATTATGATTAGTGTGTGTATTAATGTTATAGATTTATACCATGAAATTAGGACATTTTGTTCTGCCTGGCAGTAGTTATTAGCAAAAGAAAATTTCTATTTTAGAAAGCTTAAATTTAACTTAAGGATTTTCTTTGTTGAGCTTTTAGTGTGGGTTTTCTTTTGTAACATTAATTTTACTTTTATGCACTGTGTAGTACTGTTCTAGCTAAGCTTTCTTTCTGCCAAGAGAAATACAGTAGTCCTTCCCACTCTGTATTGTTCTGGAGCTTCCATACTTACTTTGTTTCTGAACATACATGAAGTCTTCAAAAAGTTCAAGGAAAATGCTTATTATGAAAAAATTATGCTTTGGGGTTTTTTTTGCACCAACTTGTACTTTAATTCCATTTTTCTAAATACTTTAAAACCCCTCATAAAGCAGTCATGTTATGAATAGCCTGTGTATGCTGACAGAAGAGTAAGTGAAGTCTTTAATGTCTTTGGGGAAACAATTTTATGTGATCAAATCATTCAACTTGTATTGTTACAAGCTTACCCAGACTTGAATTACCCAACCCCTTTGTTGCAGAGTAAGTTCCACAGGATCCATGCTTCCTGCATTTCAGAGCACTGCATATTCTTCTTAGTCATAACCTTGTCTGTATAAACTGTCGGTTTACTAGATGTAATCATATTACATTATATACCACTTAATAATTTGTGGATGCTTTTCTTTCCTTCTTGCATTGATCGCTGACACTTAGTTGTTAGCAAAGGAAACCTACAGAGTGAAAAAAGCTTTGGTCTTTTAGGTTGAGTCTGATACATATGCTTTGTAACCACTCTTAATAATAATGGATTAAAGTATTAAATTCCAGCTTTTTGGCAAATCAGTGTTTCTTTAAGTCTTCCAAAAATTCATGGAAAAATGCCTGTTATTTAAAAATTGAGAGGATTTTGAGATTTGTTTTTTGCACCAAATATAAACTTGTACTTTATATTTTTCCATGAACTTTTGGAAGTCACCTTATATATCCAACAATGATTGTACTAATGGCTTTCATATCAGCACTATATCTCTGGTTAATTTAGATCTACACAGCAGGGTAGCCAGAAGTAAGTTCATTGTACTTAAGAATTTTGTGCATGAAACCAACCCAGCTCATCTGTGTTTGCAAGTCAATGATAAGTCAAATCTAGACTATCAAGAGAGTCTAGATGCAGGAGAACCTGGAAAGCCAATTTAAATTTGTTAAATTTAAACAGGGAGAAAGCCTTGATTGAAATGTAAATGGCGGGGCCAGCAGGTATCATAGTGGTTAAGGTCACTGGACTCCCACATGGCTGACCATGGTTCTAGTCTTGTACCTGACAGCTTGCTTTCTTACTTGCCCTCTGTCTCTCTCTCTCATTCTGTCCCTCTTCTGTTCAAACTTAAATAAATAAATAAACAAATAAAGTTAAATAAAATATTTAAAAAAGAAGAAATGTAAATGGTAAAAATATTTACAATGGAATATAAATGATATCATTTGAATCTTACCAAAACTTGCCTCTAAATCTCTTAAATACCTTGTCTAGGGAATAAGTCTTCAGTCCAGAAACAGTATAGATGTGATGTGTGTGATTATACAAGTACAACATATGTTGGTGTCAGAAACCACAGACGAATCCATAACTCCGATAAGCCATACAGGTAAGTGTGACAATCCTAAAATTTTAATACTTGTCTTAAAATATTTTATTTCACAGTCAAAAAATAAAGCAGAAATAATTAAAAACATAGCACTTTTTAAAACACAATTTAAGAGCTAAGAAACTTACTGATTTCATAGGTCTTTAAGCTGGAGTCTTAGAGCAATATCTGGTTTGTCTAGTTGAAATATAGGAATATGTCTGTATCCGCTGGTTTTATGTTTTCATTTAATTTGGGTATAAATTATCAGCAATTTTCAGTGATTTAGAGTATATTTCAGTAATTTGGCTATTAGATACTCAACATTCCAGCAAAAGATTCTTAATACTTAAGGCAGTAAAATTCCTTTTGAAAGATTCTATTTTTGAAAATTAACCTATCATGCAGAATAAGGTCATTTAATTTAGTGACGTTACCTGGTTTTTCTCAAAAGCTAATTCTAATATGTATTTTTATAAAATATAGGCATTCTCAGTCAAAATGGGCTGATAAGTAGAAATAATTATTTCTTAAATAAACTCTGACTCTTGAGAATAAGCCATTGTCATAAGCTGCTGTACATTTAGAGCCAGATCCCACATGGCCAACTACAGTTCAAATTCCAGTCCCAGTGGCTTAAAAAACACACTAGACATGTATGTATGCATGCCCAAAATCTTAATAGGAAGGAGATATGGAGGAAGAAAGATTGCAGCATTAAATATACCCTATTGGGGACTGCTTGCTCTCGCGCGCTCTCTCTCTCTCTTCTTCCCTCCCTCCTACCCTCCCTCCTTCCCTCCCTCCTACCCTCCCTCCTTCCCTCCCTCCCTTCCAGAGACCGTTAGTAAGCACGTATGTACGTTCTCTGGAAATTGGAAAAAAAAAAAAAACGATGCACTCAGTTTTGCAGAGTATGTACTGCTATTACAGAGCAGTTTGTTCTACTTGGAGCCACAATGGAGCATCAGGTTCCCACATCAGAGCTAAGCCAGTCACCATGACCAACAGCCCTTCACGTGAACTCTTTTAACCCCTTTATCAAACTTGTTTCATGTTTTACACTTTCCCTAGGTTTTATAGTTAAGACATAAGTATGAGAAAGTTAATCTGTTAATTTGAGTGACAACCTGAGACTATACCATAAAAGATGATTTGATACTATAGTGTTATAAATTTGCAATATGTGCTTAATTTTGCTAACCAGCAGACTTATTTATCATCAACTCTTCAGGCAGTGCATTTGTTTGCCAAGTCTTATAGCTCTATGAAAGGTGTTTGACCTAGCCTCAGTATCTCTATTTTTATTTTAAATATTTTCAAAACTAGGATCCCTAAGTAAAATTTGTTCACCAGAAATATTATTAACAGTAACTCAGTATTATAAATTCTTTAAGAAATGATAGATGGGATTGAACATATGTCAAAAATTATTTATACTGGGGAATGTTGACAATATGATGGAAACAGGGGACACTAGTTTCCCTGATATGAGGAGAAAGCTTTGCCTTTGTATTTTGGATATCTTTATTCTTAAATTTAATGATATACCAAATTCATGTGATTTGGGCAAGAATAACATAACATTCTCTGGGTCTAGAATTAGATTGTTCATTTCAATATTAAGAGGTATTTTTAGAGCAAGTATTGTTGGGTCTTTGGAAAAGTCATGGAATAACTTTCTATGCAAAAATACATCATGACTTTTCTGACAACCCAATATGTTTTAGGAGCTATAGTAGGCTCTTGGACCACAATCATAACATAAATGCATCTTTGCTACCATGGAGTTTATAGACAATAAACAAGTAAACTCTCAAATACGTAATTATGATAAGTTTATGGAAGAGGCTGATCACTGATTCCGGTTTGAAAGAGGAGGGTTTCACATCTACAGTTTTATAGCTTATTTTTTTACAGACTTATTTTGATAGCTTTTGGTATCTTAGGGATGTTTTCTTAGGTTCTTAAAATACAGACTCCGGATTAGTTATAGTTGCTATAAGATCCTCTAACCAACAAAATATTTAATGAGATCCTCTTCATTTAACATGAGAAGCCTTTTCCAAGTTTATCCACACTCTACTTTGTCACTTAGTTTGGCCTGGATGTCTTAGAAAAAAATGTTTTCAGACCTCTGCCCATGTAAAATTATTACCAATGTTTTCTTATAAATTTTTCTAATCCTGTGATTCTTCTTTTAACCTTCTCTAAGTAAATATGCATTCTCCTTTGTCTTTATGGAATTTGTAGTCGGCAGAGCATTTCAGATGAACATGATCAATCCCAGTATGTTACTAGCACTTTCTCTCCATTATCGTATGCTCTTGGCCTGAAGCTAAGCTAGTAAGCATAGCCTCCTTTGTGTTTGATTTAATCTAAGGATCACAGTAGTTTTCTGGCTTATTTCATGTCTGTTTCACTCAGTTTTGTTACCTGGTACATTTATGGTCAGAGTTTAGACTTGTTTTCTCAGAGTCATACTCTATGCATTTCTGATTCCCTATGTTTTGTTAAGAAATGTGCTCACAAGTAGCAATGATAAATTTCTTACAGAGTTAGAATTCCCTGCTGTACAACTTCTGGTCTTTACACAAGGGCACAAAAGTTTCATTGTATACTTTTTTGGTTTATTTTTGTTTTTGTTATTGGTCATGTGTACTCACTAGAGAGAAAGACTGGAGAGAGGGAGGAAAGTAAGAAATCACCCCTAGGAAGATGACCATTCTACAGTCCCTTCTCTTCCACTCTCCTCTTGGGATTTTGGGCATGCACACACCCACACTCACCTGGAGTGGTCTAGGACTCAAGCCACAAAGCTATGTGGGATCCAGCTGCTTTAACCTCTATACCACTTGCTGGTCCAGTCATTCTGTATTTTAATACCTGTTATGTAAGAGGTTTTCTGCAATTGTGATACCAAGCCCTTTATCATGCCTTTGCTTTTTATGTTGCCATTCCAGTACTTCATTGAACTCATTTATGTGGTCTGTACAACATGTATAAGAGCCCTGGCTATTAGGGCCAGATAGTCCTGGGGTTGAATCTGAGCTCTCTCCCTTAGAAGATTTGTAACCTTGGGCAAACTATATCGCCTCTCCGTGCTTGGTTTTATAAAATAAAGGTAATTAAGGTTGTGAAATACCACATGAGGTACTGGCACATAATAAACATCTTTCTAACAATTATTAGATCCAACTTTATTAGTTCTCCTTGCAGTGATTCATTGTCTAACCAAGAGAAGAAAAAAAAAAGAGGAGGAAAAAATAAAACTTAAAAAGGCTTTCATTTGGGAAACAAAGAAGAGTAATTCTGTTCCTGGGTAGTCAGGCATAGCTTATGAGAGATGCTGTGCCCAGATGGAAATAACTGTGACTGCTGAAGGCCCCATGCAATGTCTGACTAGTTTAGAAGCAGCCTGGTGTACTGGGGAGCACCCAGTGCTTTAGAATCCCAAGTCTGGACTACGCACTTCTTATACCCAACTGATGACCTTGGGAATGTTATTCCAAGCTAGGCCTCCTTTCCCACATGAAACTGGGCAGCATGTGAGTGAGTGAGCCTTTGCCTGTATTTGCAGCAGCTCCCCATTACTTGCATTGACACCTGTGCTCTGCCTCCTATCAGGTTAGTGGTGGTATTGGATTATCATGGCACACGACCTCTATTGTCTGACTGTTTCATTGTATATTGCAGTGTGTTAGTGGTGGAAATGGGGTACATGGTAGATTTGGCTTGGGTCAGCCCCAGATCAACACTCCCCACCCTACCTCTACCCCGGTCTGTGGAGGAATTGTCTGATCCCTGACTGGTCCCTGGTGCCAGGAAGGTTGTAGACGACTGCTATAACAAATTAAAAAAAGAAAATAGCTAACACCTGTGAGGATACTTGGTGACTCACATGTTATGCTAAGCACTCAGTATATGTCAATTCACTTAATCTTCACAACAATCTAATACTTAACAGATATTACCATCCTAACTGTTTTGTTATGGAAATAAGACTGGGGTAAATTAACTAACTTCCCCTCAGATCTCACAAGTGGTAGAGCTAGGGCTTGAATCTTTATTCAACCTGATGACTGTGCCAACTTGCCCATGTGTGCTGTACCAGGGAGAGCTCTTCATGAAGTGTACTGCTGCTGCATGGCAGACCACCCCAACTTTAATGGTATGATACAATAGCCATTACATTATGCTCAGGGATTCTGGATCCAGAATATGGAAAGGGCACACTAGGGATGACTTGTCCTGTCCTGTATAGTCTGGGGCTTCAGCAGAGATGTGAAGACTGGGGGTAGCTTGGACAGATGGGGTCGTAGTCATCTGAAGGCTCACTCACCACAGTCTGATCAGGTGGCTGCTGCTGGCTATGCCATGGTTGGAACTCATGATACACAAGATTTTACTTCGTGGACTTTGCAGGTGCTCTATTCCCAAAAGCAGGCTTCTTAGAGAAGAAGTAAGTAAGAGTGGTGTTGCCTTTAATGACCTACCCTTGGAAGTCAGCTTAGATCACTTCCACAGCCCTTCTAGGTTTACATTTCATCTGAGGCATGCCGAATCTTTTTTCTTTTTTTTTAGTTTATTTGCTTTTTTCTTCCATGAGTAAGAGAGGCAGAGAGAGAAAGAGACAGCACCTCCAGCAGGGTTTTGATACCAAAGTCCACTCCCAGCTCCAGCCACCCCCAAATTATGGGCACATGTTTTACCCTGTACTCCCCGCCCAGCACCAACATGTTGAATCTTTGGTCAGTGGCCAGTACTATAGGCATGAGAAAATACTTAAGTCTTTGAAAAGTTTTCCTTTGTTTTAAGGAAAACAGTTTAGTAGATAGTTTAATTTTGAGGGGAAAAAAGTTTTTGGTTTTTTAGAGGGATAAACTGAAGGAGTATGTTTTTCACAGTAACTTAGAGACTTGTCAGGGTTAGATCGGCTCTGAGGCATAGTGATGGGTGCGGTCAAGTCCCACATGGCTTACCACGTGGTTCAAGTCCCAGATTCGGTGGCTTGAAAAACACACTGGGCACATGTGCACACATGCCCAAAACCCTGAGAAGAGGGAGAAATAGAAGAGAAGAGATTGAGAAACATTCCCCACAAGGGATGAAGCTTCCTCCTCTCCCTCTCTCTCTGTCTCTCTGTCAAGTGCACACACCCTCTAGGAAGAATAAAAAGATCATCACAAAATTTTAAGTCGCCATTTTTCTGGGCTTTGGTTATTTATTCCTTTAAAAGCATAGAAAATTAGTTGAATGGGGGAAGGCAAACCATACTGCAAAACTTCTATTGAAATCTTTGTATATTTAAATCATATTCAATCACCCTGAATCCTGTATATCCAGCTTCTGCTTCCTTCCAACAAACCAAGATAATCGAATCAGACCTGGGCACTAAGTAAGGTCTCAGACCAGAGAAACAGAGATATTTTAACCAGTATCCTTATCTCTCCGGGAATCCGGGACTGAAATAACTGACATACTCGCAGTGGAAGAAAGCCTTTAGAAAAAATTTCAGTCCCGAGTCTTAGCCAAGTCGTAAGGAGCTTTGGCTACATTGACTTTTATTAGTTATTAAAATAGTTTTCTTACATCAGAAATAAATCATTTTTCATCCAGGTATGGGTGGGGTTTTATTGGTTGACATGGAAATTGTATTTATTCATCATTCCAAAGCTTTGGTACGCAATATCCTTATTTACAGACTACACCAAGACTGACCAGCAATTGAGTTGTTAGGGTGTTCACTTGTTTCCTCATGTCACATATATGACTTTTCCTGATGGACTTGAATAATTGAAGTACCAAATGCTCTAGCATCATGCATTTCTACTACAGGAGCACATTAGAATTATGACAGGTAATATCATGGTAAATGTGCCCATGTTTCTGCTGTTCTTTTGTCAATGTTTTATTTTGTTTTGTTTTCCCAGAGGACAGGGTAGGGTAGGAAGGAGCAGTTCATCCCAAATGAAAATATGGATATTGCTGGTCTGATAGTAAGATGATTAGAAATCATCTGTTAGATACAGTTTCTGTTTCCATATGTATTTCCTATCATTTCTCCTATCTCTGGGTTCGATATGTATTTTTGGTCACACTGGAATAGCTTACTTAGTTTCCTTACTCTAGCTTAAGGAAACATATTGTAAAAAGATAGTAAAAATGGATGCGGGGCACCTTTGCATAACTTTTTTGTTTTTTCTTTCTTTTTTTTGGGGAGAGGTTTTCACTATAGGGCATGTGCACTCGCCAGAAGCACAGAGAGAGACAGAGAGATACAAAGCAAGAAATCATCCCCCAGGGGGTATGGCCACGCCGCAATCCCTTCTCCTCCATTCTCCTCTCAGGATCTTGGGCACGCACGCCCACATGCCTGGCATGAGTTTAAGCCACCGGATCTGGGACTCGAACTGCAGTCGACTACATAGGAGTCCAGCGACATAGCCATTAAACCAACTGCTGGTTCCACCTTTGCATAATTTTGAAGTTGAGGCTCCCCTGTATGATCCCTTCTCCTCTAAACAGTTGAAAATCATTTTACTAAGTGTTTAACCTTATCAATTTCTTTTCTTTTTTTTTTTCCCCATACTTGGATCTTGTCATATGTATTTACCATTGTAGGCATTCATTCATACTATCCCTTGTGCCAAGCTAAAGAAGGTACTTATGGAATTAGAAGTGAGAGGAAAAGTGAAAAATCACTCCCCAGGGGGATGGCCACACTGTAATTTGTTCTCCTCCCAGGATCTTGTGCACACATGCACATGTACCTGGCATGATTTTCAAATAATTGGGTCCAGGACTTGAACCGTGGTCAGCCATGTGAGAGTCCAGCGACATAACTGCTATGCCACCTGCTAGCCCCCCTAGATTTCATTTCTAAGCACACTAATTTTGCTTTATATCTCCTTTCTTCTGTTTAAAAATATTTTAAGGACTTCTTTAGTATTAAAATTGATTAACCAAATCAGCAAAATGTACATGTCTTTGTGCAGTACAATTGGAGAGAGAATTTTGAAAATGTTAAAGCAAGAAAGCAGAGGGCTTCCTTCCTATACGTTCTTTATGTTGGAAAGCTAATGAAAGTGACTCTAGGTTCTTACCAGACTTACTCATCCTTGCCAATCTCTTTATTGATTTGATGGGTGTAAGGCATTCCTTAATTATTAGTAAGATTGAACATCTTTTCATGTGCTTGTTTCTTAGAAATTCTGTTGCCTTTAAAGTGAACTGGTATTTCCTGAGGTCAGAGACCTGGGCCTTATACCTGATTCTTCAGTTCATATAATTTAAAAAAAAAAAAAAAAAAAAAACTTCAGGATGCTATCATAAAGTTATATTGGAGGTGGGTTAGAATAAGAATTTAGTCCTTGCCCATATTTACTTGTTTTATTTACTCTATACTGTTTGACTTTCCTTGTGATTCATTATTGTTAACCTTGTCTCTTACTGATATAGAAAAGAGTTAGATGAGTTATCTGATCTATTAGATTTATAAGTAAATAAATTCAGCAAGAATGTCTTTGAAAAAGTACATGTGCAATTTCCTAAAAAGATAAATATGGTTTTATTATACAATCTAGCAATTATGCTCCAAGGTATTTACCCAAATGATGAAGATTTTTATCCACCTGGAATCCAGCAACATGAATGTTTATAGCAGCTTTATTCATAATTGTAAAACACTAGAAGCAACCAAAATAGCTTTCAATAAGTGAATGAACAAAATACAGTACATCCAGTGATAAGAAAAGTGCTACCAAGCCACAGAAAGCCAAAGGAAACTTACATGCATATTGCTGTCATTCCGGTTATATGACATTCCAGAAAAGGCATAATAACTATGGAGACCAAGAGAATAGAGTGAGGCCAGTCCATTGCTTGGTGGTTAAGGTGGCTGGATTCCTACATATATGACAACATGGTTTGAGTGCCAGACTCAGCAATTTGAGAAACACACCTGGCACATGCGTGTGTGTGTGTTCCAGAAATCCCAAAAGGAGGTGGAGTTGGAGAAGGGATTTCAGTGTGACCACTCCCCATGCAAGTGCTTTCTTTCTCCCCTGCCCCCTTTGTCTCCTGCAAGTGCACATACTCTCTGGCAAATTTTTTTTTTTTAAAAAGAGTAGATTTATTAGTGGTTGCTAGGGATTGCGGAACAAGAGGGAGAGATGAAAGGGTGGAGCATAGGGACTTTTAGGTCAGTGAAACCTTTCAGTTTGACACTATAATGGTAGATTAGTGACATTTTTTATTTCTCACAACCTAGAATTGTACAATGTGAACTGAATCATAATATAAACTCTGGGTTCCAATTAATAGTAATGTGTCAATATTAATTAGTTGTAACAAATAAGCCACCCTAAAGCCAGATGTTAATAATAGGAGGAACTAGGTCCAAGGAAGAAGGGGTAGATGGAAACTGTACTCTCTGGCCAGCTTTTTCTATAAACTTAAAAGTAATCTTAAAGAACCAGCAGATGGTGTACTGGTTACCTCATTTGACTCCTATATAGTCAGCCGCAGTTCAAGTCCCAGACCCAGTGGCTTAAAACTCAAACCGGATATGTGTGCGTGTGTGCCCAAAATCCTGAGAGGAGAATGGAGGAAAAGGGATTGTGGTATGGCCATCTCCCTTGGGGAGATGGAGTGATTTCTCGTTTTCTGTCTCTGTGTCTCTGGCAAGCACATGTACCCTTTAGCAAAACTCTCTCTAAAAAAGTAATCTAAAAAAATAAGGTCTATTAAACTTTTTGAAATTAAATTTTAACTTATAACACATTAATTTACCAAGTGTACCCAAGTATGTAGAACTGGTTTTTTTAATAGAAACTTTTTTTAAGAATTATTTTGTTTAACTAACTTTCTTCCTTTCTTTTCTTCCTCCCTCCTCCTTCCTTCCTTCTATTCCTTCCTTCCTTCTTTCTTTCTTTCAATTCAAACAGAGAGGGAGAGAGCTAAACAGAGAGGAAAAGTGGCAAGCTGCCAAATTCAGGACTCAAACTGCAATCAGCCATGTGGGAATCCAGTGCCCTTACCCACCATACTACCTACTGGTTCCTGAATAGAAACTTTTTAAAGATTATCTATTTTGTTTATGAAATCTAAATTGTTGAAGTTTTTCAGGACTACTACTTCCATTTCCTGTGGATCTATAAATAAATACAATATTCATGTTGAAAATTATTCTTGTTTGGTTTTTTAAATTAAAAAATACAGTAGTAAAGAGTATTTTGCTGATTTTTGTATGTGGTTAAATAATTTAGAGCAAATATTTTGATATATTAGATATCTTTCTAAATATTCTAATAGCTTAAAGTGATCTATGATATTTGTCTAGATTTTTGTACATTCTTATAATATGAAATACCTTCTTTCATTGATTGATTCTAGGACATCTATTCTAGGACTTCTCAGTATGCCTCTGAGAAACAGTGATTTCACAAATTCAGTGAAATATGATATGTCTAATAAGGCTCCAGGAGAAGGAGTGTAATCATTGTTACAGAATCATTGTAATTTTTTAAATGATGTCATGGGATCATTCTGATTTTCCTCTTTCTTGTCTTTCAGATGTTCTTTGTGTGGCTATGTATGCAGCCATCCCCCTTCTTTGAAGTCTCATATGTGGAAGCATGCAAGTGACCAAAATTATAACTATGAACAAGTAAACAAGGCTATTAATGATGCAATTTCACAAAGTGGCAGGTATTTAATCCTATCCCCCTCCCTTTATTACCATATAAGAGATTAAAGCTAGCACTAAATCTCCCAGACCTCCATTATAGCTCATTCAAGAGTTGGTGTATTTTGTTTTGTTTTTAAGAGTTCTGGGGAAATCCCCTGGAAAGACTGTATTAAACAACAGTGAAGAGAGAGCTGACCCTGTCACTGGAAGTTCAGAAAATTTGGTGTCATCTTCAGAGCTGATTTCCCAGGCTCCCAGTGAAGCTCTAAGTTCCAATGAGAATGAAAAACTGAGCCCTACAAGTAATACCTCATATAGTGTAGATAAAAACTCCGGTCTGGCCCCTCCTGGTATGGAGTACTGTGTCTTACTGTTCTGTTGTTGTATTTGTGGTTTTGAGTCAACCAGCAAGGAAAATCTCTTGGATCATATGAAAGAGCATGAAGGTGAAATTGTAAACATCATCCTAAATAAGGAACACAACACAACTCTACACACAAATTAGACGGAATCATTACTTGAAGAGGATAACAGTAGAAAAGAATTCCTTTAAACCAGTTTCACCTTTGCACTGTCAAATAACTTACTAGACACAGAAGAAATCATTGGTGTGGTTTTTGAGGAAACGACAGATGTCACTTTGGAACCAAACTAGTAATGAAATAAAAGGAATTCCAACTAGATAAGCAGTAATATTTAAATATACTAGTGAGATATAGATTGAGGAGAAGGCAAAGATGTAATCCTGTATTAACTCTCTGTCATCCCTTCTTAGTGTTGAATCTGTTTTATTATTAAAAGCTTATAGTGTAGAAATGCAAGCAAAAGAGTTAAAAAGGGGCTTTTCAGGAACTATTCTAAAACTTACTGTAAAAGTGTCATAATCTTAAGCAGAGTTAAGTTTCTTTCATTCTCACTTTGGACATGCCAGCTCCAAGAATGACAGACCTCTTGTGAGAAATAAGGTGTAGCTCACAAAGGGTTTATTTCAGTGTCACCGACAGAGTCAACAAGGAAATGATAATTAGAGGGCTTTGAAGAGATCTACTTAAATCT